AGTGGTGAGAATGGTGAGACCAGGAGGTGGGAGGGAAGCTGGGGTAGAAAAGGGGAACTGATCACAATGATCTACATATAACCCCCTCCCTGGGGGATGGACAACAGAAAAGTGGGTGGAGACATCAGACAGTGTAAGACATGAGAAAATAATAATAATCTATAAATTACCAAGGGTTCATGAGAAAGGGGGTGCGGGGAGGGAGGGGGGAAATGCGGAGCTGATACCAAGGGCTCAAGTACAAAGCAAATGTTTTGAGAATGATGAGAGCAACAAATGTATAAATGTGTTTGACACACAATGGATGGATATGGATTGCGATGAGTTGTACGAGCCCCCAATAAAATGATTTTAAATAAATAAAAAAATTTCAGGCTCAGAAACCCTAAGAAACACTTCTATTCTGCCCTGCAGGGTTGCTATGAGTCGGAAATGACTTGATAGAAGTGGGTTGTTTTTCTTTTTAATAAATGGAATGAATTAGATGTATATATTCTGACATGCCACTGATGTGTTAAGTAAAGAAAACTGCAACATTGTATCTTCCATGAGATTCCATTTAAAAATGTTTTTGAATGCTAAGATAGTCCTAGGTAAAGATCTGGAGGCATATGTCCCAAAGATGACCAGCGACTATCTCTTGGGGATGGTACTCATTGTTGTAATGTCGAAAACATTAGGCTTGCATCTTTAAAATGTTATGTTTAAAGTAGATTTACTTTGCAAACAGAAAACAAACCAACAAAGATACTTATTTCCCTAAAGGGAAAAAGGAAAACCAACAAAAGCCCCGCCCCACTGGTAGACTGACTCGCTGTCCTTGGGTGGAAGGCTTCTGTATCAACCCCCAGCGAATGTACGCCCATTGGGACAAAGGTGACACTGTCAGAATGAGCCAAGGTGACTGAGACACACGGTATTTCCTTTCATCCTCCCTTATTTGCCTCTCCTGGTGGGCTATTGTCACTGCTTCTGGAACTTGCTTGACAATTTAGAACAAGCTCATTTCCAAATTTCTTCTCTCTAGCGCACAATTGGTCCATCTGAGAAGACAATAAAGCATGGTGTAAGAATCAGTCCTTTCGAGTGTGGTAGCCCTAGCTCTTATTAGTGTTGGACTCCCTGGGTGATGTAAGCTAGTAATACGTTCAGCTGCTAACCAAAACATTGGAGGTTCAAGTCCTCACTGAGGTGTCCAGAAGCCAGGTCTGATGATCTACTTCCCAAAAGTCAGCCACTGAAAACCCTATGGCACACAGTTCTATCTGACCCAGAGAGGGTCACTGTGAGTCAGAATCCACTCAACAGCAAGTAGTTCTAGTGGGTGTTTTTGTTTTCCCCCCAAGCCGTGCACATTAGGGTAGTAGGAAAGAGTAGTAGAAAAGGATCTGTCCTAGAAATCAAGTTACACTTTGACATGGTTGGTTTCATGTTATATTATTTAATACGCGCATATGACCTTGTAAGACTTTCCTAAAACGTGCTTTGAGGAAAAGAACAAATCACAATGAAAACCTGTTTTGAGGTGGTTGACACTCGCTCGCCCATTTGCCCAAGTTGCTGGCCCTCTCCAAGAGTTACAGTCTCGGAAACTTACAGAGGCAGTTCTACCCTGTCTGATAGGGTCGCTGTGAGTCAGAATCCATGGCGATGAGTTTGAGCTTGGGGGTTGCAGCATCCCAAGCGGCCAGCATGCCGTGCGCTCCTCCAGCCACCAGGGGCCACTGTGACACGCGCACGTCCCCGCACGCCGCCGGCGAGCGTCGTTCTTGGAAGCGTGCGTTCGAGAGGAAGGAGTCTGAGGAGGTGCTGGGTCCGCCCGGCCACGGGCCCCAAGTCTCTGCAGCGTCGGCTGCTTCTTTCCAGCCTTGGGTCTCCCAAGCGCGTGCCACGACTTCTCCTCTCCTCGCCCGTACCTTCCCTCCCAGGCTGGCTGACGACTTCCATTTCCCCACCTGCAGCCCCGGTGTCCGTTTGCCCAGTCCCTGCCCTGCTCCGCCGAGGGCCCCTGTGTGCGAACCTCGGCCCCATGGTGCTGCAGTCGCTGCAGAGCTCGGGGGTGGTCATCCGCCAGATCCTGTCTCACTTCCCCGAGGAGCTGAGCCTGGCTTTTGCCTATGGCTCCGCGGTCTACCGCCAGACGGGGCCCAGTGCAGCCCAGAAGGTGAGGCCGGCCCCGCCCCCTGCTGCCGCCGGCTCAGCCCGGCGCCGCATCGGCCTCCTGCCACGGGGTCCGGTGTGGTCTCCGCGCCAGCTCTGCGCGCCCTATGTTCAAAACAGACCAGACCGTGCAAAAAGGGACCAGGACGAGGGTAACGGCGGCGTGAGCAGGGTTCTGGAGGGCAAGTAAGGGTACACTTCGATTCTAGAGCAAGAGGTGCATCTCAAGCGCGCTGCCGTTGAATCGACTCCGAGTCTGAGTGACCCCTAGGACAGAGTCGAACGGCGCCTTTGGGGTTTCTGAGTCTTTCAATCTTGATGGGAGCAGACAGCTTCATCTTTCTCCCGCAGAGCGACTGGGGTGGGTCGTAGCCTCAGCTTGCATTTAGGCGGCAGCAAAAGCAAGATGGAAGGAAGAAAATCGAGTATTTGTCCGGTTCCGGCCACATGCAGCTCAATCGTGGTTGAACTGGACCAGAGACTCTGGCTTATTGGCGGGGGGGATGGGTCAGGAATTTTCAAAACTTTCTAGGTGATTTTAATGAGCGGCCAAATTTGAAAGCCACTCCGTAGCTGTTGCGAGAAAATACTGGAACACAGGTTGCAGGGCCGGCGCAGGTGCACTGGAAATTAATTGACTGCACGAGGTAGCGGGCAGCAGTTTATCCCCAACCAAGCCCACTGCGGTAGAGGCTATGATCAACTCCGAGCTGCCGTATAGAACCGTGGGTCGGCGTGTAGAGTGTTCAGGGCTGTGAATCTTTATGGAAGCCGACTGCCGTGTCTTTCTCTTCCCTGTGATTCTTGGGGTTTGAATTACGGACCTTTCAGTTAGCAGCCAAGTGCTTAAACCACTGCACCTCCAGCGCTCTTGCGGACTAGGTACAGAATTGTTCATTAAGAGTCCACTGAGGGCCAACACCACGACTAAGTAGGAAGACACCCGTTTTCTTGTGATAGCAAAATTCAGCATGCAGATTGCAAAAGGCCCTTCAGATCTGGAATCTTTAGCTGGACTCCCTATGAGTGCTCACCTGTTCCTTTGCTGGTGAAGCGAACTATGCTGCTTCTTGAACTTACTGTTTCCCACCAACGCTAGCTCATATTTTTCCTTTAAGTTGGCAATAATATATGAGAACTATGTTGAATGTGCTTATTGATGTAAAACATTAACATAACTAGAATGTATGTATTTATTTCTACTATTCATGAACTACCCCCAAAATCATCCTAAGTATGGCCAGCAATTTGTGGATCACATGGTGGGACACAAAACAGGCTGTAGGTAGCCTCCTGGTTTTTTCTACAGCCACCTCTTCATTTTCCATGAAACGTTCCGAAAAATTCTTTCCAAACTATTCTTTCACCTTCACCCCTAATTCAAGTTAACACATCTTGGAAGCACCTCACTTAAATCTCAAGACAGACCCTTCTCCCAGTCCCTCAGTTAGTATCCCCTTACATGGCAATAGCCCCTTGTCTGGTTCCCCTGCGGTTGGTCTCTCCTTCCTCCAGCTCTTCTACAGGAACATTCTTCACCTGGAAAGCAGCCTCCCTCCGGCCTTTCCACTCCCTGCCTGTATTCCACACCACAGCCAGTGAAGCACAGCTCCCTGAACTTGTCTGGGGGTGTTCTCATATCTACTGGAGCAGTTCCCTTACCTGGACCCCTCACCCCTCCCTTTGCTTCCCCTAGCACATCCACTGAATACTAGGGGTTCATCAATTTCCTGTGTATTCTTCAAAACTCAGGTTTAGGATCTCTAGGAAATTCTGTTATCCTGACCCAGCCCCTTTCTGAGTGATGATAGATCACATCTTGCATTCTCTCCTAAGATAACTTGCAATTGAGTTGTGTCTCCCCCAACTGCCACCCCAATAGAGTCAGCTTTTTACCTCTAACCCAGCACATATCAGAGGAGCTACCTCATTGTAAAGGAACTCTAGTGGGTTACAAATTTTACTACTAACTACAGGGTGCACAGTTCAAAACCACTAGCCTGCTCCTTGGGAGAAAAGGTTTTCTGCTCCTGTGAAGATTTACAGCCTCAAATACACAGGTACATATCTACTCTGCCCTATAAGGTCCCTATGAGTCAGAATCAATACAATGGCAGTAAGTTTGAGCTAATTGTAGGTGCTCAGTGAGTGGTTAGTGAATTGGTACGAGTTAAAATAAGTTGTTTACTTCATAGGGTTTTCTGTGGCGTTACTTGAATCTGGATGGAAAGTGGAGAACATTTAACTGAAAGACTACCATAGCAGCTATGCATACAGACTTTGGAACATATGAGAGAGCTTAAAATTTTGTGTAAAAATGAAATTAAAAGATTTTGCATTTTTTTGCGGGAACTCATTTAAAGCCCTTTATACTACTTGGGTTGACTAATCACTGCTATATGACCTTGGGCAAAGAGAAATTCTGTGTGTTGGTTTTTGTTCTTTTAAAATGGGCATAATAATAGTGCCTGTTTGAGTGTGTGTATGTGTGTATATAAAGTATGGCAGAATGCCCTTAGAGTCAGGGATGACAAGACTGTCTTACATACTGGGGACATTTTGTCAGGAGAGACCAGTCCCTGGAGAAGGACATCATGCATGTTTGGTAAATTGGAGGGGTGGTGAAGGCCCACGATGGAATGGATTGGCACAGTAGCTGCATCAGTGGGCTCCAACAGCTATTGTGAGGATGGCACAGGGCCATGCAGTGTTTTGTTCAGTTGTGCATAGGGTTGCTATGAGGTGAAGCCAACTCATGGCGCCTAACAACAACTATATATAAGCCCCCACATCATTTGTAATAATATGTGTCTATTACAAAGAATGCCTGATACAGCAAAGTACATGCTAAATGATGTATGCTGTTATTAGTTATAGGGTGAAAACAAAGCTCAGTTTGTTTCCAAAGACTTGCTAAAGCCTCAGGAGAACCCCGTCTGACTGTCAGGTGTGGTGCAGACCTGGCTCTGTCAGATGGCGGGTTCCCCTCGATCTCCGTGTCTCTCCAAGACTTGATACTGAGCCTCTTCTCCCCTCCCACCGCACAGAACCCCATGCTGGATCTCGTGTTCACAGTGGATGACCCTCTGAGATGGCATTCCAGGAATTTGGAGAAAAACTGGAGCCACTATTCTTTCCTAAAAGTTTTGGGGCCCAGGATGATCACAACTGTTCAGAATAACTATGGCGCTGGAGTTTACTACAATCCATTGATAAAGTGCGACGGTAGGGTAAGTGGCTTTGGACCTTTGTTGGCCGGGCTAGGGCTCTGTAGGGGCCCTTTTGTTACTAGTGTCCTAGGTAAATATGCACAAGGGGATTTAAGAAGTTTGGAGATGTTCCATTACCTTTCATTCCAATTTTCCACACATTTTTGGAAACCTTCTTGTATGTTCTTGCCTGTAGGAAACAGGCAAAGTCCTGCTGGATGTCCTGAGCCCAGGCACAGAGCAGTAACCTCCCTCGCCTGTGGCTGCAGTGTGAGAAGATTTTTTCCTTTGACCAAGTGGTTGTCAGACTTCAGTGTGCATCCCAGGCACCTGGGAGTGCGTGTTTGAAGCTCAGATGGCCAGGCCCTGTCTGCAGGCCTGGAAAAGATGCCTTTGAGCATCCCTGGTTGGCCAGTGGACAGGCTCAGCAGGCTGTTTAGGGTCACGATGAAGATTCAGCATATCCATAAGGAGGAGCAGACCCTCCCAGGAAGAAGTTAAGAAGCCATGAGGTGGTCAGCGGCCTGTGGTGCCAAATGCTAGGGATGCTTGGTGTTCACCGGTGGGTGGCATATAGCAATGGGGACATTGGAGAACAGGGAGGATACGCAGATCCCAGCAGGCACGTGCTCTGGCAGCAGGACCACTGCCAACTGTTCTTAGATGGAGGGCCCCAGTCTTCTGAGGGCTGCCTGCTTAAGCAGATGCCTGCTAGAGATGGACTTGGCTAGGGATGACATGCGAGTTTCACCTGCTGTGCCAACTCTCTTGATGGCTGGGAGCATGTGTACACATCACCTAGGGGTCTTCTTAAAGTGCACGTTCTGTCTCAGTCTGGGATGATATCTGAGAGTCTGCACTTTTTACACACCCGCAGGTGGTGATGCTAGTGGTTGAAGGGCCACACTTTGAAGGCCAGGAAGTTCAAGTGCTGTCTTGAGAATGTTGAAGGCATTGATGAGCTTAGCATTTTGCTACTGTAATGAATCAGGTGACCCCTGTGAAAGGGTCGTGCAACCCCCAAAGGGGTCACAACCCACAGGTTGAGAACCGCTGCCCTAAGGAAACCCCCTTTCAACTGACTGACTGATTACATTGTGGGATTTGGCCAAGCCACTGGGAATCGTAATTTAGTCAAGTTGGCACATAAAATTAACCATCATGCCCCCTGACTTACAGGCCACTGATGTTTCCATTGCCTCCCAGGCGTTATTTGGCTACAGCGAGAAGGGGTGTGAAGTACTAGAGTGGAGTGAAGAAGGTAGCTTTTCAGCCCAGCCTGCCAGATCCTCTAGTCATACAAAGCACGTAGGTTTGTTCTTTCTCCATAATTAATATTATGCTGAGCTAGCGCTAATTGGTAGTTTTCAAACAGTATGACAAGCTCCAGTGACCAAATGTTTGGGTATAATTATATACCAGTGGAGCTGTACTTTTTAATTGAAATCTTCAGCTACTTTTTAGCGTTTATATCCTGAGGAGGAGATTGGATGTTGGAGCACAGCACTGTGGGTCTGAAGACATGTGCTAGTGCAAATGGGATTCTGCGACCTGAAATAATTCCATCCAGTGTTTGTCAGTTTACTACTGAAGTGAGTTGGACTATAATTCAATGTGTTTAGCATTGATAAGGAGGTTTTCTTTGGGGATGTTACTTTCTAATTATAAAAGTGTTTGAAGTACTCACTGGGGAAAGAGTGTAAAGGCTGTCAGTGAAAACTTTTAATTCATGAGCGTTTCTCGTGCTTGTTGGTAAAAAGAGCAGTGGGGGAACAGACTGAACTTCTGACCTAAGTTTGACTGCTGGTGATATTGCCGCCTTGAGCCTGTCATTTGTTGTCTCTGGCCCTTGGGTTTCTTATTCGTCAGATGAAGAGACTGAACTCCATCATTGCTCCTCAGTCTGTCTGTAGCAGGGGGCCGGATTTTGTTGTTGTTTTCATCCCAGTCCACTGAGGACCAATACTAGGAAACCACCAGAAGCCACTCTGCCTCTGACCTCAGTGAAGCAGTGGCCACCTCACATCACCTGACATGCCTGGAGAGCCAGATCAGTCTTGGCCACCCAACCTGTGGGAATGGATTTGATGGAGATGTGTGTTTTTACCAGAGCTTCGAACTGGTTCGTCTCGGTTCTGCCCTGGCCAATGAAGCTGCACTAGGATAAACCTGAGTTTAGGGTAGCTGTGGGTGGAGTGGACCGATAACCAGAAGGGGAACGATTGTGAGTTGATACCCTGCTGGGAACTTTTAGAAAACAAGGGTTGGGTACTTTTTCTTCATCACCAGGACTGAACCAGTTCAAAACCCTGTTTTCTATAAGGTATACATTTTGAGTTGCTTTGGCAATCAAGGTACCACTTTGATTAGAAATTTGATTTGTTTTCTTAATATTTTATAAAAAGCCTAAGTGACAACATCATAGTTTGCTTTCTTTCACCCCCGATTCTTTTCTAGCTTATCAAATACGGGGTTATTAGCACTAGCGTTCTGATTGAAGATCTCCTCACCTGGAATAACTTATATATTGCTGGACGACTCCATAAGCCGGTAAGTGTTACATGGGCTGCCACATTAGGGTTGCTTCTGCTCTCTGCGGGATCCGTAGGTACCACGGAAGGATTGGCCATTAGAACGCATCCAGAGGCAGCCCCAGAGAATACCAAAGAATACAGTAGCTATCGAGGCACTTCCAACTCATGGCAACCCCACATGTTTTAGTCTAGACCTGTGCTCCATCGGTTCCAGTGGCGGTTACCTTTAGGCAATAGATCCCCAGGCTGTTCTCTTAAGGGATGAAAGGTCACCACCATTGAAAATCCTGTGGAGTGCAGTTCTACCTAAAGTCACCACGAATCAATCAGCTCGGCAACCACTGGTTTATAGTCCTGAGTGGTACAGAGGGTTAAGCCCTGGCTGTTAACCAAAGGTTGATGGTTTGTACCCAGAGGCATGTCAAAAGAAAGGCCCAGTGACCTACATCTAGGAAATCCTCCATTGAAAACGCTATGGAACCCACCAGGCCCGGCCAAGAGGGCAGCATAAGCTCAAAAGCAGGAATGGGCAGAAGTGAAGGACAGATGGACATGGGGCACCCAGGGAGGACGCAGGAGCTCTGCTGTTATGCTGAGGGAACTGCAGCTTCTGGTTCGGAACGGAATAACATATAAATGGTTGAATGGAAGCCCGATTTGCTCTGGGCTCTTTCTTCCAAACCCCAATGTAAACGAATAAAGAAAACCCTATGGAGTATGGTTCGACCCCAACCCACACGGGTCACTCTGAGTCAGAGACAGCACAACGGAATGGGCTTTGAAGTTTGTTTGCCTCCATATTGGGCCTCACTTTGATCACTTACTTGTGGAAGATAAAAACTCCAGGAAATGGCTACACGTTTAGATTCTTATGCGCAAACAAAACCCACTGCCGCTGACCCGAATCCAACTCATAGTGACCTTGTAGGACAAAGTAGAACTGCCCCATGGGGTTGCCAAGGCTGTGATAGTTTCAGAAGCAGACTTCCTCATCTGTCTCCTGTTAGATTCCTTTACTCCCTGTAAAATTCAATGTCAGGCACCACCCAGATGCTACCCCCATTCCTCTTGCCCTTGCCCTAAAGAGTCCTTGCCTATTTGAATTGGTCTTGCTCAGATTCCGTTCACTGGGGCTGCAGGAGGACGGGTGGCGAAGGGTTAGTGCAGCCTCTGTCCACACAGCACGGAGACTTTCTCTTCAGTGTGTGTGTGTG